CACACACACACACACACACACACACACACACACACACACACACACACACACACAGAGTCAGACCGAACAACAGAAAGTAGACCTCCTGGTTGATTGTTCTGACTCTGGTTGTGAGGGGGGTCACCTGGACTGGAGGGCTGCAGGTCGGTCTCGTCTCCCAGCAGGTCAGAGGCAGGTGGTTCCTCTGGTCTCTGGTCATTGGTTATCGTCCGTCTGATACTCTGATACCTGCAGGGGTGTGTTTGATAAATACAAGAGTACCCAGTCAGTTCTCAGTGTGTGTGTGTGTCTGTGTGTGTGTGTGTGTGTGTGTGTGTGTGTGTGTGTGTGTGTGTGTGTGTGTGTGTGTGTTTTGACCTGCGGTTCAGCTGCTCCATCTGCTGGATGGAGCTGGACCTCTGCAGGGTCTGTGGAGCCGGTGGGGCGGTGGGTCTCTGCCATGTGGTGGTCCTGTTCACGTGGTCCACGTAGAAGATGCGACCGTGGCTGTCGATGCGGGCCTCCCAGTCTGGATCAGACACACACAGGAAGTAAAGACCCCTGACACGATGGAGGCGGAGCTTCTATACATGAACAATGATCCTAAGACCCTCATCATTAGACAGTGTCTACCACAGGGTCCTGAGGTTCATGACTGGTTCCAGTTCCCTGACTCCTCACTGTGAGCTGTACGTTAAATCAGGCTGGTCTCTCACTGCACACACACAGACACACACACTGGATTACTCCAGTCTAAGACCCTCCTGGACTTAGTTCCACCTTACTTAAACACCTTACTTCAAAGAATCAACAGCCACTACTCACTAGATCCACCAGTGTTGTCCTGTTACCAGTAGCACAKGTCAGAACTGAACTGGGAAACAGAGCATTGCTGCCCTGTGGACAGATCTGAACCTGTCAGGACCCACTTCACCAAGATCCTTCATTTACACCGTRACAAACTGTTACCAAGATCAGTCTCGTTGTTTCTAAATGACCTGTTCAGTCACTAGCTGTTTGAGTCTTTACTTCAAACATTACCTTTTCTTTCATTTCATCACTTCACTGCACTGCCTGGAACATTAAACCATTCACTGTCTCAAACCTGTTACACCTGTATAACACTGTTACAACTGTATAACAGTGTTACACCTGTATAAAACTGTTACAACTGTATAACACTGTTACACCTGTATAACATTGTTACACCTGTATAACACTGTTACACCTGTATAACACTGTTACACCTGTATAACATTGTTACACCTGTATAACATCGTTACACCTGTATAACACTGTTATACCTGTATAACATTGTTACACCTCTAAAACATTGTTACACCTGTATAACATTGTTAGACCTGTATAACATCGTTACACCTGTATAACACTGTTATACCTGTATAACGTTGTTACACCTCTAAAACATTGTTACACCTGTATAACATTGTTACAGCTGTATAACATTGTTACACCTGTATAACACTGTTACACCTGTATAACATTGTTACACCTGTATAACACTGTTACACCTGTATAACACTGTTACACCTGTATAACACTGTTACACCTGTATAACACTGTTACACCTGTATAACATTGTTACAC